CGTAGTCTCTTTGATTATGGAAGGTTACCACCCGTCGTCCGGTAAACTTAGGATTATGTGGGAACAAGCAAGCAAACATCCTTGCAGTACTGTAACAAATATCATTTTCATGGTTCAAACCAAAACTTCGATTAGCTTACGTGTGGCCTAAACGAGTGTTAAAATTGTTGAGGATGATTTCAGGGTAGTGAGAAGTTGTTTCAGCTGTTCGCTAAAAACCAGTACGTTCCTTATGCAGAAGTATATACTAGACATGCAAACTTCACAAAGTCAGAAAGTTTTGAAGAGCGCCTACCGGAATGTCCTTCGTGAACCTCAAACTATTGATTTTGAAGTAAGCTGTTGGTCCCTCCGGAAGATGACAAAAAATTATTCCATCTAAGAAAACACATTTTTAAGAATACACATTTTCCACGCCGTAAACACAGCGCACAAGATACGTACTTGGTCTCTTATGATCCTCGTGCACAACAATGAGATCAGTATAAGAACGCGCAATGGACTGCTTCACCACCTTCTTTAATGGAACACCCTTGCGCGAGAAAATCTCTGCGTTAGGAATACACTTTTGCAACTCAAAACAGAACTTCCATGTAGTCTGAAAGAAACATTTGGAAAAGAATGTGAAACTGAGTATTCTAGCAAAGACAAATTTACCTTTTTTGCGAAAGGTGACATCGTGATAAGAACCTTGGGCGTTGTTTCACGATTGAAGTACGATGCAAATTCGTCGTGTGCCTCATCATGTTCAACCTAGTAAAGTCATAACCTACTAGATAGTAGAGAACGGAAGACAGTTTGAAAATGTCTTATTTGATTTACAGATGAGTGTAAGCTACTACATATTTTTGCTTGTACATGATAAGATAGTTTCTTAATTTTTCGTAGACAAAGATGACCATAGAAAAAAATTTAAGGCCAATAATCAAACATCGCAAAATCGAAAAATTATGAAAAAATATCTGCGTCTTTTCTGAAAAAAATTGCGCAAATGCCATCAGATGTTACATGACAAGAATCTTCACTATAATTTCAGACAATCACCTCTTCATCGTCATCCTGTACCATTGTCACATCATACTCTCTCGTACTCTCGATAGTTTTCGGCACTTCTTTCGGAGGCGCAGCATCACCAAGCGTTTCTCGAAGTTTTTCACGCTCAGCTTGACGGGCGCGTTTGTTCTGCATAAATCATATATTAAACACAAGAATATCGGATGCAGTAAATTAGCAAACCTTCTTCAACGCTTTTCGAAGGGCAACTCCTCGTTCAGTCTTTGGTAGATGCCTAAACTCGTCTTTGGTCACAGTCGGAGTTTTCTTGACCTAAACCCGAAGTAGCATATTGTGGCTAAACAAATGAACGACCGCGATGGTCCTTCACTTGAAACAAAGAACTGTTCCCAGTTAGTTGATTTAGAAAAACGCAACATGATTGAACAGTAGGAAATCGAATAACTGACATAAAAGTATAAGATCGGGACATGCCAGCCTTATGATTTTTTT